TTTTGGATAATCCCCGCCGCGCGGCACGCGCGTCACGCCGCCGCCCTGGCCCCGGGAGCCTTGCGCAGCGGCTCCGTGCGGCGGAGCCGTCGCGAGGAGATGGCGCCCGCAGGACCCGAGGCGCGCTGGTGCGCAATGCGCTCGGCCAGCGGCGGCGGGTCCCTGGCTGCCCGCGCTGCACGTCCGCAGCCCGCCCCCAGTCCAGGGCAGCCCACCGGTCATGGCGGCAACATCGCAGAGCGGATCTCGCTCGGAAAGCAATGGGATGGGCCAGGATTGTCCTGGAGAGTTTCATGCGGATTTCTTTTGGCCAGGAATGAAGACTACAAACAATCCACGCGGAATTCACGTTGTTTTTCGCTCGCCATTTCGGGGTGTTGCGTTGAGAGAAATCCATGCAGAAATCTGCTGCAGCACGTCTGCAAGGCCAGTGCAATGACAAGGGCCCCTCTCGGGGCCCTCTTGGGGCCCTCTTGGGCGATCTCGGGCGCCTCTGGGGCCGTTCTGGGGTCCTCCTGGGTCGTCTTGGGGCCCTCTTGGGGCCCTCTTGGGCCGTCTGGGGGCGGTCTTGGGGACCCCTAGGGCCGTCTTGGGTGCGTCGGAAGCTTGACAAGGGGATAACGTGAAAAACAAAGGAAAACACCCGCGGGAAGCCTATGATTTCTGCTTCTTTGGGCCCTCTCGGGGGTAGTTACTCTTGGAGCGCTCTTGGGGCTTCTCTGGGGCTCCTTGGGCCGTCTTGGGGCCGTCGTGGGCGCCCCGGAGAGTTCTTGTACTGTCTCGGAGGCCTTCTGGGCGCTTCTTGGGACTCGCTTGGCCTGTCTTGGGGCTCTCTGGCCTCTGGGTAAGTCATGCGGGGATGCCCGAGAGCGCGCAAGACCGCTTGGGAAATTCGGAATTCCGGGGCCCCAGCCCCTAGAATACTATAATTTCCCAGTCCTGAGTTCAGAGAACAGAGAACACATGGTCAGCGTAACTCCACTTCGTGCCTCGAGGCTCGGTTGCGGACATACATATATACACATTTATATATGCATACATATATATACATATATGTATATTTACATAGCTATACATACATATATATATATATATATTTGTATACCCTTCTATCGATCTGTACATATATATACATATCTACGTACACACACGTATATATATATATATATATATATATATACATGCACATGCCATGTCTACACACATATGTAGATTCATATCTATAAGCGTAATACACAAACTACATTGGCGCTTCGCGGCATGCACGTTGCTCCAGACATTGTCAGCGGTAGGCTGAGAGGCGTTGTGCTCTGAGGCCTGCCTTGGAGAAGATGCGCGCGGGAGTGGGAGAAGGCCTGCTGTCTGCGCCGAGGCGAGGACCACCGCCGAGGGCCAGCAGGGGGTGGCAGTTCCCCCTCCCTGGAACAGAAAACCCGGACGTCCCTTGGGGGGGTGGTCGGGGGGGTTCCCCCCAGACCCTTCCCCCATAGCCTCCCTCAGTTTTTCCCAACCCTCCTTGGTTGAGTATTCGTTTTGAATAGAGGGGTGTGGTCGCGTCCTCCTCCTCCCGCCTCCCGCCTCCTCCTGCCCTCTCTTCGCCGACGATGGGGGCTGCGATCTGCGAAACTGTCGCCACTTTCGAGGGCTGCTAGTGGACCCCTCCCCCATAGCCTCCCTCAGTTTTTTTCTTTGCTGGGGGCTAGGGGGTTTTCACACCGGACCTCCTTTCCTCTCTTTGGGGACTGCGGGGGCTCTCCCCCCGGGCCCACCCCAAAACCGCCCTGAGGGGGCTGTCATGGAAGTTGTTAGGGGGGTTCCCCCCAGACCACTCCCGACCCCCCCCAAACGTTTTTTTTCGAGGGGGGGGGGGGCGGGGTACAGGGGTTTTCGGATTTCCTCCCCAAAACCACTCCTGGGGAAGGGGGGTTCAGGGTCGAACCCGCCCTGCGAAACTCATGCTTTCATTCTTCTGCTCCCCTGCCCGCTCCGCGCTCCGCTCCCTTTCTGACCTCAGTTTTTTTTTTTTTTTTTTTTTTTTCTCTCTCTCTCTCTCTCTCTCTCTCTCTTTCTTTTTCCCAACGATCCTACGGTGTTGGGTCTTCGTTTTGAAGAGAAGGTCCCCGCGTTCCTTCCTTCCTTCCTTCCTTCCTTCCTTCCTTCCTTCCTTCCTTCCTTCCTTCCTTCCTCCTCCCCCTCCTCCCTCCTCCCATCCCTGCCTCTGCCCTCCGCATGTCTTCGTCGTCGTCTCCCTGCCCAGCACAGCGTTTCGTGGCCGCATGGGGAGCTACACCGAAGGCCAGTGGCGGTGTCCACATGCGTCTCCCCCACGCAGCACAGCGCTTCGTGGCCCCATGGGGAGCTACACCTAAGGCCCCAGTGGCGGTGTCCACATGCGTCTCCCCCACGCAGCACAGCGCTTCGTGGCCCCGTAGGGGGCGCCACTGAAGGCCCCAGTAGCGGTGTCCACGCGCTTCGTGGCTCCATAGGGAACTCCATCTAAGGCCGCAGTGGCGGTGTCCACATGCGTCGCCCCCACGGAGCACACCGTTTCGTGGCCCCATGGGAAGCTCCACCTATGGCCCCAGTGGCGGTGTCCACATGCGTCTCTCCCACGCAGCACAGCGTTTCCCCATGGGGAGCTCCGCTGAAGGCCCCAGTGGCGGTGTCCACGTGCGTCTCCCCCACACCCAGCACAGCGTTTTGTGGCCCCATGGGGAGCTCCACTGCAGGCCCGAGTGGCGGTGTCCACGTGCGTCTCCCCCATCCAGTACAGCGCTTTGTAGCCCTATGGGGAGCTCCACCGATGGCCACAGTGGCGGTGCCCACATGCGTCTCCCCCACGGAGCACAGCGTTTCGTGG